CAGACAAAAGAGCAAAATACTCATGACTTCATGATAATTCATGCTCTTATTTACAATATAGCCTTAGTCTGACCTTCATATTAATCATATTTAGAAATATTTATTTTTTTATTCTAATCATGTGATCATATTGTTTACATTTCAAATTATTGAATATCACTTTATGAGGTCACTATAACTGAATTTATTGACAGGTATTGTTGTGTATTTTGGGCTTATATGACTACCGTAGAAGGAGCACCCCAAAAGAGTTATGGGTAACCAATATATTCTGCTCCATTGTTATTAGCCATGATGCTATGAGACACACTGCGTTGGTGAAATAAATGGTTAATGTGAGTCTTTGTATGATTAATTACTGGTAACTGCTGTTTATTAAGAACCTTGTACTCCATCCCTGACACTGCAACGACTTTCTGTAGGGAAATCTCAGATCACACTGACCAATAACTTCTTCAGTCCATTCTGATCTGACATCTGATTTCCAGGTCCCCCTTTAAGCTTTAAGCTATTAATGGTTATTAATTAATTAATGTGTCTTTTTGATCCTCTGGGAAACAGCTGCAGATCTGGACCAAACTGTGTCTAGAAACTGATTATTAGCATCTTATCAGCTGGTCAGAGAGCGAGTGGGTATGTGTGTGTGTGTGTGTGTGTGTGTGTGTGTGTGTGTGTGTGTGTGTGTGTGTGTGTGTGTGTGTGTGTGACGGTGTGTGTGAGGACATGTGTGTGAGGAGGATATATCTGTGTGTGTGTGTGTGTGTGTGTGTGTGTGTGTGTGTGTGTGTGTGTGTGTGTGTGTGTGTGTGTGTGTGTGACGGTGTGTGACGGTGTGTGTGTGACATGTGTGAAGTGTGTGTGTGTGTGTGTGTGACAGTGTGAGTCTGCCTTCCTCAGGCTCGTGTCTCCTACTTGGGGCTGGTGTCAGCAGCAGGCCAGCTGCAGCCTCCACCTCTTTACCTTCGGGTGGCCTGAAGTGAGCGGCGGTGATCTCCTCCCGCTGACTGCGCCTCCTCATCTTCCTCTCGTAGCTCCTCATCTTCACATCCATGTCTCGCAGCTTCTGCCGCAGAACATCGTTCTCCTTCTCGCTCTTCTGCCGCTCCTGCTCCATCTGGGAGCGTAGCGCCGCGTAGCCATCGTCTACCAGTTTGCAGATCTCCACCACCGCGGAATTGGCCAGGATCTCTATGATCGAGGCGATCTGCGCCTGGAAGCCGACACAGTCCGCCATCGCCGCCTGGGCTGTGTGCTCCTGCGCGGACAGATGTGCGCGGCGGTGCTCGGGTGTCAGCAGATCCACGCAGCTGGATGTGACTGGAGACATGCAACAAGCTCAGAGTCAGGCTCACTCTGTCCGTCCGTCCGTCTGTCTTCCACCCCTCTGCTGCTTAACAATGTTGTGAGTCTATGAGGTGCCACAGTCGCCTCCTGATGACGTCAGTTTGTTGTTCAGCATCACTTCAGTCAGCTGAGTCAAAATCTTTCCTTTCTCCTGAAATGTCATTATTCACCCGGTTAGCAGAGGTTTCCACATCTGTCCATCAGCCGCTGTGGTCTGGAACCAGCCCCAACACTGATGTTCGAACAAGGAACACATCCTGGTTTTGTCTGTGGACCATCAGACCATACGACATGTTCCTGAGGTTATCAGTTCTGGTTGTGTTTGATTTTTGCTATTCACACGTTTTAACTCTTAAAAGCTTCATGTCTAACCACAGCTCATGAAGTGTCACTGGGCACAAGGAGAAACTGTGACCCTCTTTGATGTGAAAGGAACCAATTTCTTTAAAGAACCACAGACTATAAAGAACCCCATATTGTATATGAAGAACCACTGAGTATAAATAAAGAACCACAGATTGTATATGAAGATCCACATATTAAGAACCACAGACAATAAACAAAGATGCACATTGTGTAAGAAGAACCACATACTGTAAATAAAGAACCACATTTTATATGAAGAACCATATAATGTAAATAAAGAACCACTGACTATATATAAGAACCACAGATGAAGAACCGCAGATTGTATATGGGGAACCAGATTGTATATGAAGAACCACTGACTGCAAATAAAAGACCACAGATTGTTCTATGAAGAACGAGACACTGTAAATACAAAAAAACACATTGTTCTATGAAGAACCATAGATTGTAAATAAAGAACCACTAACTGTAAATAAAGAACCACATGCATATATGTGAAGAACCACAGTTTGTATATAAAGAACCAACAATTGTAAATAGAGAAATTGTAAATAAAGAACCACAGATTTTATATCAAGGACGATATATTGTATATGAAGAACCAAAGATTGTAAATAAAGAACCACATTGTGTATATGAGGAACCACCGATTGTATATGATGAACCATAGACTGTGAATAAAGAACTGCAGGGTGTATGTGAAGCTATATGAAGAATCACAAATTGTATATGGAGAACCACAGATTGCATTTGGAGAACCACACACTGTAAATAAAGAAGTGTTAAGAGTTGCAAAAATTTGAACCTGTATGAACAGGTTCAAATAAACACATTCTGAGTCATTTTATAGAAAAATTATTACTCTTCATCAATAAGTTGTGTTGATTTACATCCGTTTTCTTCTGCTTATCCAGGATTGGGTTGCAGTGGCAGAAGGGTACGTAGGATATTCCAGACATCCCTCTCCTCAGCAACGCTTTCCAGCTCCTCCTCAGGATCCCACAGTGTTCCCAGGCCAATTGGGAAATGTAATCGTTCCAGTGAGCTCTGGATCTACCCAAGAGCCTCCTTCCAGTTGGATGTGCACAAAAAGTCCCAAAGGAAGGCACCCAGGAAACATCCTAATCAGATGGCTGAACCACCTCAACTTGCAATGTGAAGGAGCAGCAGCTCTATTACGAGTTCCCTCCGTATGTCCAAGCAGCTCACCCTCTCTCTAAGGCTGAACCCAGACACCTTACAGAAGAACCCATACCAGAAATGAAAGTGACGAGGTGTGTCAGGCCCAACAATGTCCAGAGCCATCAGCATCTCAGGGTGAATCTTACCCACACCCAGCACCTTGCTGCAGACGAGCTTCTTTATTATTTTATTATGTTATGTATTATGTTATTCAGGTTCAGGAGTTCAGGAGGACACTGCTGCTTCACGAGATCCCTGGGCCAGCCAAGCCCAAAAGGGCTTCTTCTTTAGCCTGACCACTTCCTTTACCACTGGTGTCAACCTGCAGGTTCTTAGGTTGCCGCCTCAACAGGCACTGATGACTTTATGACCACAGCTCGTATCTGCTGCCTCTGTAATCTCCCTGCCATCTGATCAAACTCACCACCAGGTAGTGATCAGTGATCAGCTCTGCACATCTCTTCACCCATGTATCTAAGACATACCAATGATCTGATGATACAACCACAAAGTCAATCATCATTCTTTGACCGATGGTATTCTGGTACTATGTACACTGTTGAACCATCTTACGCTCGTGTATGGTGTTATGCCCAAGCCATGACTAGCACAGACGTCTAATTACAGTTTCAGACTGGGGAGGCTGTTTCTCCCAATTATTTTGATGTCTCCTAGCAGAACTATAGTGTCCAGACAGAACCATTTCCAGGACACCACCCAGAGACTCCAAGAAAACCTGATACTCTGAGCTACTGTTTGGATAATCAAACATAACAGCCAGAGCCTTCCCCTCAGCGACTCACATATCACTCACACAATCCAATCCAGCTTTATTTATAAAGCACTTTAAAAAACAACCAGAAGGTACCAAAGTGCTGTACATGATAAAATTATAAAGATAGAAAGATAAATTAAAAGACATAAAACATCAATAAAAACAGATATATAATAAGAGAAAACAAAAAATAACATAAAATAAGATAAAACAATAAAATAAAATCACATCTTACAGGGTGTCAAAGGCCATGGAAAAGAGATGGGTCTTAAAAAGGGATTTAAAAACAGACAAGGAAGATTCCTGTCTAATGTGCAGAGACAGATCGTTCCACATTTTAGGGGCTGCCACAGCGAAAGCACGGTCCCCTCTGAGCTTGTGCTTCGTTTTTGGCACCCTCAGGAGCAGCTGATCAGCTGACCTGAGAGAGCGGGTGGGAGAATATGGGTGCAGCAATTCAGAGAGGTAGGGAGGGGCGAGACCATTGAGAGATTTAAAAGCAAATAAAAGAATTTTAAAATGAATCCTAAAATGTATGTCACATATCCTCTCATGCTGTGAAATTTCCCCGCCAGAGAGGTGACAGTCCACGTCCCTAGGATCAGTCTGCCACACTGGGAATCAGCACGCCCAGGTCCCCACCTTTGCCTGCCGCCCAGCCTGCATAAGCACCTGACCCCAGTGCCCATCCTCACAGGTGGTGGGTCCACAAGATGGTTGCTCCATGTTGTTTTTTTTTGGGCTTAGCCCTTGGGTAAAGGTCCGCCCCCCCAGAAGTTTTCCAGCGAGCTCCCCTCCCAGGTCTGACTCCAGGAGGGGGCCCCAGCTTCCCAAGGTGCTGCAGCTCCATCTTCACTGATCCATTTGTGTTTTGTGAATTGCTCTTAGTCTGGCCCCTCCCCTGGGACCAATTTGTCATGAGATCCTACTAGGGGCTTTCGTCTCAAACACAGCTCCCAGGATCACCAGGACACACAAACTACTCCATCACATTAAAGTGCACTTGTTTCATTAAATTATATATTTATTTTTCATGTATATATTTTATTTTTCTTTCAAAGTTATATTACCATTTTATTCTTTTATCTTTATCGAGACATTTTGTAATAAATGTCAATGTATGTATTTTATTTCTTTTATGATGATGCAGAGGATGTGGATTCAGGATGTTTTGCCACTTTTCACAGTGGCAGAAGTAAAAATGACAAACACACATTTGGAGGCTGTTTTGTAATGTCGTATTGTAAACATGTATAAATAACACCAGCACAGAACATTATTAAGTGTGTGGCCAGCTGCTTCAGTCCCGTCTGGCTGTGTGCGTGTTCACTTGCCCATGTGGACGCTCTGGTGGCGGACCACGTTTCCCAGCACAGAGAAGCTCTTGCCACACTTGGTGCAGCTGTAGGGTCTCTCTCCGGTGTGGACAGCCTGGTGCACCTTGAGGCTGCAGGCCTGTGAGAATCGTTTCCTACACAGGCTGCAGCTGTAGCGCTTCTCCCCTGTGTGGACACTCATGTGTCTCTTGATGTGGCTGGACTGGGAGGAGTGCTTCCCACACTGAACACAGCTGAATGGTTTCTCCCCTGTGTGCACCCACTGGTGGGTTTTCAGCTGGTGCAGGTGGATGAAGGGCTTCTTACAGAAATGGCAGTTGTAGATCCTCTCCCCGGCGTGGGAGTGCTGGTGCACCACCGGGTCTCTGGAGGTGCAGAAGAGGCAGCCACAATGCTGGCAGCTGAACACTTGCTCTGTGCTGCTCTGAAAGCTTCTGTTCCTGGAGTTGGAGGAGGCGTTATTGAAGGAGAAGCCAGTTAGAGAGTCTGACATCGAAGAGTTCCCACAGCTGCTCCCGCTGCTCAGGAAAGAAAAAGAAGAGGATGACAGTGACTCTTCCATGCCTGTGACTCCATCTGTGGACTTTCTGTGAGGACCTGTCAGAGACAGGGCCACCTCTGGAGACGAGAACAGATGATCAAAGGAGGATGAGTCCAAGCTGTTGATGTCCAGCTGTGCTGCTTCACTCTTTGTGTTGTGACTATTAATTACTCTGCTGTTACTCACACACTCACTACTAGTGACAGTGTCATATATCCTAAAAGCTTCAGACCAAGCTTCAGTCTCCAGTTTGACTGCCTCTCCACTCCAGTCTGCCGCAGCACCACACAAACCCTTCACTCCAGTGTTTGTTAAAGGAAGCTCTGAATCCAGAGTCTTCATCAGTGGAGCCTCTACATCAGGGAGGGGACGTCTACTGGACTCAGCAGACTCAGAGACTCTGGGATCCACAACATGCTTGTCTTCTTTGGTCAAGTCTCTGTTTGGACCTCTGTGGCTCTGAGTCCTGGTCTCCCTCGCCCCCTCTTTCTCTTTCTGCTGCTGAGCTTCAAGTCTGCCAAAGTCCTGTTTTTCAAAGCGACATCACACACTGTCTGTGGGTATTTCTACTCCAGCACTCAGAGGGTGGACGCTCTCAGCAGCAGGAGACAGAGACTGAGGCCCAACTAAAGAATGAACAGAGAGAAAAAGATTTCTATCAATCTTTTATTCTAACTCTCATTCAGAACAATTATGTCACTGCTGCAACACTGTCAATTCACTCAGCTACCATCAGACCACAACCTGGATTTAAGAACAGATTACACAGTCACCCTAAAGGCTGATTTACGATGTGACATCACCTGTAGTGATCGGTTCAGGGGAATAATAATATTAATAGTGAACACCCTGCAAATGTTTTCAATGTCGCTTTGAAGTCAGATCCAAGAAAAAAAGGTAAACTGTAGGGCTGCTCAATTATGGCAAAAATTATATTCGCAAGGGGTGTCCAGCTTTCAGGTGGGCAGCACCAAGAGACACATTGACGTCACTAGGTCTAGGAAGTAATGTCTGGACCACCAGCGAGGCGTTTAATACAAAGGAGAAAATTGGGTTTTGCCCTGACAGTTTTTCCCCTCGGTGTGAACTTTGAGCCTTGTGACTCTGTAGAACATTTATATGCACAAAAAACTATAGTAATGTATAGTAGTATACAGTATAGGAGAAGAAAAACTCAGAAAAGCATAATAGGTCCTCTATAAACAGCAGCTTTAATGCTTTCAAATGTGTGTTTCTGTGGGGTAAATGTTTCATAGTGTCATTATGGTGTGGGTGAGATTGAGCACATTTACTCCTTCACCTTGTAGCTTTTACATGACATGCAGACATGTTCTGTTATCGGGTCAGATTGCTGTGGGTGCAGCATTCTGACGTAAAATTACCAACACATTTCTGTTTTAAGTCCTTCATACGTACTGCTGCTGCTAGCAGCTGTCTGAGGGTCTTCCAGCTGCTCCTCCAGCCTTTCCCTCTTTATCACAGCCACCTCTGCCTCCACTGGCTGCTCCATCACTTCCACCAGCTGAGAGACAGAAAACATGTATGTCAAGTCTTCACTGCTGCTGCACTACAAATCTGATATGTGCTTGGCAGAGGTATCAGCAGCGAGGAATGTTAAAGTTTATTTTTTGTTCTTCAGTTGTGTAGATAACATCCATACATTGTAAATGCAATTTTCACAGTCTTTAACAGTGTCAGGCCGAGACTCAAAGCAGGACTCAGATGCAGAGATATTAGAGAACCAAAGGCTTTTATTGAATTCCCTGGAGACCTCAGACAGAGTGACAAACCAATGGCTATGAAAAAAAACTAGACACTAGACTCTGAATCTAAGGAAACAAAAAAAAAAAAAAAAAAAAAAAAAAAAAAAAAAAAAAAAAACACTCCAGGAGGAGGAAAACAGTACTAATCAAAAGAAAAAACAACCGATAAACACAAACGCTCCGTACGGAGGAAAATCCTGACTATATAAAAATAAACCAAAACAATAATACTCACGCTACTAAGCGGAGGATCTAGAATAATAAATAACTGGCTACATGAAATGAAAATCACTCTTAACGAGGAAAAACAAAGATCTATGAAAATATGCTAAGGTAAGAACTACAAACAAAAAATCACTCTTAATGAGGAAAAACAAGGGGCTATGAACTTTAGCTAGGGCAAAATTTACAAACAAAAAATCACTCTTCTCGAGGTACAGAAAGCTTACTTTGGCGACTACTGTGGCTGTGGACATGGACAAAAGGCTCGGGTGCAGGACGAGAACGAAGACACTCTGGCACAAGACAAGGGGAACACAGACTACTTAAACACATGGAGGGAAATAGGGGACAGGTGGAAACACTTAGGGCAATCAGACTGAGACACATGAGGAAGGGCAAGTGACCTGAAACGAGAGGAGAATTACTTTTCAAAATAAAACAGGAGATGAGAGGACAAAACCAACCCAGGACAAGACAACCTCACCACGGTGTGAAAAACAGGCTAATAAAAATGAATTTCTCACCTCTATGTACACACAAGGATGGGGGCACAGACTTGAAAAAGCCCCCCACCCTTCCTAAGTAGTAATAGCAGGACACCCACACTGAAAATGATGTTTGCTTCTCTTTATGGTCATTTTGAGTCTTTTTTGTATTTGCATCACTTTTTTGTTGTTTAGAGTCTGTTTTAATAGTGTCCCTTTGAGTCTCTTTGTAGTAGTTTTGCCACTTATCCATTGTGGTTTTCAGTCTCATAGTAATTCTGGCATCTTTTTGTTGTTATCTTGAATCTCTTTGTTGTGGTTTAGCATCTCTTTGTTGTCATTTTGAATCTCTCTGTTGTAGTTTATCATCTCTTTGTTGTCATTCTGAGTGTCTTTGTATTAGTTTTACATCTACTTGTCAATTTGGCTCTTTGTTGTAGTTTTACTGTTCTTGTTGTTTCGAATTTCTTTGGAGTCATTCTGGCTTTCTTGTTGTTGTGAATCTCTTTGTAGTAGTTTTGCATCTCCTTGTTACTGTTTATAGTTTTGTATCTGTTGTTCACTTTCAGTCTCTTTCTAGCTGTTTTGAATCTCTGTGATAGTTTGTATGTCTTTGTTGTCATGTTGCTTGTACTCATTTGAAAAGTCTTGGCAGTGGGTTTGCTTGTTGGATCCTTAGTATGAAGCACATACAAGAGTGAATGCACAACAGGCTTTCCTCTGAAAAAGTCTTGGAGTAAAGATAATGTTGTCACATTATGTGTCACCAGAGCTGTAGCTGCTGAGTTTAAACTCCAATAGCGTTGTTACTGAAGAGTCTCATTGACAGTGAGTACAGTAAAATATGCACCTGTGATCCAACCTGTAATAATTTACTGTCTCTGTTCATTATCGTATGTAGATTTATTTTTATTGAAATGTGGTGATACATCTGTATATATTAGAATCGAGAGTCCACAGAGGCAGCACTGTTGTCAAACTGTATTTATTATGTATTCAGTTTTACCTCCAGAAAAACTGGAAGAGTGGTTTCTCTTTTTTCTTGTATGTGCTCTGTCCCTCTGGGGCCACTGTAGTTTTTAGTCTCTTTCACAGCTTCCACTCATGCACTGCAACCCTGAACTTTTCTAGACATTACCTGGAGGAGCTGGATGTGTGAACAAAAATGTCTGAATCAGCTGTACTGGACATGAATAGAACTGGCTGAGTAGAGCAGGTCATAGTCTGGAGGGAAACTCTGGACAGTGTCAGCAGAATCAGGTCTGGACTGTGTCCGGGGTTCATATGTAAACACAGCATTTGTAATCGGTTTGCGTCTCTTTGACTCATTTTGAATCTCTTTGTAGTCTGTCTGCACCTCATTAAAATCTCTTTGAGCGTCTTTGTAGATGGTTTTTTACCATCTGAGACCTGAGACCCCCTACCCCTCGTGCCAGAGCCTAGTCGGCTCGTCACGTGTCTCTGACATGGTGAGGGTGGAGATGGACAGAAGGAGAGATGAAGTGAGACGAGATGACTTTCGTACAGACCACAACACTGACCTGCTGAGAGTCAGGATTCTCCAGGGTGGTGGACTCAACTCTTCTGTTTGTAACAACAGGAGCATCTTCTTCAAAACCACGATCTGTTCATGGACAATCACAAGGTTTGTTATAATATGTTTACACATCTGATTAAACTCACAGGAACATGAACACTGAGTGTCTGCACTGCTGACAGAGACAGACAGTGTATGATGTCATAACACACACCATGATCATCCAACCACACACACACAAACACACGACTGTATGTTTCACTACTATTACTAGGTACTGCTGCGCTCAGTACATACACTGATTGTCTCCTTGTCCCAAACTACACTTACTACTCCACACAACCCAACCCCACGACATCCACGTGAGTCTACAACGCCACCTACTGTGCTCCACACCCAGGGGGACAGTAACCAAGTGCATTCACTTGAGTACTGGTCTTAAGTATATTTTTGACTATGTATACTTTACTTGAGTTTTATTCTGTTTGAAAACTTCTGACTTTTACTCTACACTTAAAGACAATTATTGTTCTTTTGACTCCACTACATTTCTATGAAGGACTCTACAGGTTTAATATCATATTCTACAATCTTTTTATTTAGTCATCCATTTCTGTAAATGTGGAACAATACAACAATGATTGACATTAAAAATGTACTTTTTTAAATTTTTTTTATTTAAGTGTAATAGGACAAGACAAAGTGATAACATACATACATACATAACATACAATACATACATTGGACAAACCGGCGAGAGACAGTAGTGCCTGGGTTGTGTGTGAATACTTGCGTGTGTGTTGTGTGGGGGTGTGTTGATGGGGTTTGGTTTTGTGCAGTGGAAATATTGTGATTGTATCATAGGAGCAGGTGTGTAGAATACGAAGATAATGACCAAAGTAATAATAATACTGATGATAATAAATATGATGTAAATAAGTATGATGATGATATATAAATATATTACTGATGATATATAAATATATTATTAATAATAAATATGTTAATAATAGTAATGATATAGTTATAATTAAGTAATGACAGTAGTAATGTTAATGATAGAAAGAAGTTAAGTCAAAAAGAAGAGTACATAGAGTACATAAAGTAATAATAAAAAAGATATATATATATATATATATATATATATATATATGTATATATTAAAAAAATGAATAATTAAATAAATAAAATATAAATAAAACATACGGGGATTGGGAAGTAATAATAATATTAATAATAATAGTAATAATGAAGTAGGATAAGCGAAAGAGAAAAAAAAAAAAAAAACTTGGATTAATAATAAATTTCCTAAATAAAATTCGATCTATAGGTGAAGAGATTGGGGTGTGAATTAATAGTGGTTGATGGTCACCCGTGGTCGTCTACTCCCGCTAAAAATTATGTCCCCGTTGCTCCCAGACCGCTGGTGGCGCGGCCTACTCACTGTACATTAATACATTTGTGTGTGATGCATTAAAAGCCTTGTGTATGTGGTGCATTAAAAGAGATCAAGGAGGATTTTGGAGTGTAAATTGTTGGGATGCTTTTATGTCATTTTTTTCTTTTCCTCCGATCTAGTGTATGGTGGTTGTGTTTGATTGCGGGAAGGCCAGCAACGGATGTGAGCGGTCTGAGGCAAGGGAGACAAATCGAGCGGTCAAGGGGCCATCATACTTAATTCTAAATAATAACAATAATAATAATAATAATAATAATAATAAGAGGAAAAAAACAAACAAAAAAACAACAAAAACAAAAAACAAAAAACAAAAACAAAAACAAAACAGAACAAAAAAAAAACAACTGGTAATCTGGCTATGATGATTGTTGTAGAATTGACAAAAACAATATTATATAAAGAAATAAATAGGTAAATAAAAGTTATAGTAATAATAATAATTAAACAAATACATATATATGTATAATTATCATAATAACAATATAATCCCACATCAGAAAAGTAAGTGATAAGTGTTTTAATAAAATGAAAGGTTAAAAGGTAAAGAGATATAATATATAGTGTATAATTTTTATAGGACTAACCGAGGAAAGAAGAGGAAGGAAAGAGAAGTAGAAGAAGGGCCAAGTCATATTGCCAATGATGATGGTGAAGGGAGGAATGGGGTCTGATTCAGATAATTAGATTGATGTTGGTGAGAGCTGAATGGTGTTAAAGTCCTTTGTTTTTCTAGATTTGAGTGGTCTGTCAATACGTTGAGCCAGTGTTGAGTAGATACCTTAGTTTTGTCTTTCCAGTTCAGTAGTATGATTTTTTTGGCAATGGTAAGTGATATTAATATGAATTGTTTATGGTTTTCAGATATGTTTGTTGCGGACAGATTGCCGAGAAGGCCAATGATAGGACTTAATGGGATGTTTGTGCTAAGCATCTCGGATAGCTTATCTAGTACATTTGTCCAGAAGTTTTGGATTGGGGGGCAATACCAGAGGGCGTGGATGTGATTGTCCATTGTAGTTGTGCAGAGTGTGCAAGTGTTGCTTTGTTTGAGACCCATACAGTGGAGTTTGTGGTTGGTTATTTGGGTTCTGTGAAGGATTTTGTACTGTATTAGTTGAGTTTTGGAATTGCCTGTCATGGAATATATGTTGTTACATATTGTTTGCCAGTTGGTGTCGATTGGTAGGTTGTTTATGTCTCTCGTCCATTTGTGTATGGGGATTGATATTGTTGAGTCGGTGGATATTAGGAGATTGGGACAGCATCTTTTTAGGTTTGAGTGCATGTAATTTTAGGTAGAGGGGAGAAATGTACAGAAGTTATTAATTTCTGTGGTGTTGAGGCGTTTATTTATCACATCTCGTATCTGGATATATTGAAAATAGCAACGGTCTGGTAGATTATATTTTGTTTTTATGGAATCGAAGGTTGTGAACCGACCATCATTGAGTAGCTGTCCCAAGGTCGTGATCCCTCTTGTAATCCAGGTTTGGAAGATGAAGGGTTTATTATTGATCAGAAGCATAGGGTTATTCCATATGGGAGTTTACGTTGAAAGTGATATTTTGTATTGGAAGATTTGATTTGCTTTCCACCATGCGTTGAGAGTAGTGTTGATTGTGTTGTGTTTGTAGCAGGGGTGGGGCTTTATGGAGTTATCAGTGAATGGGAGATTTTTAGTGCCCAGTTCTTGAGTTAGGCTGTTTTCAACATCTAACCATGGTGAGTTTGTGTTTTTTGTCCAGTGGTGGATATACAGCAGTTGTTGTGAAAGGAAGTAGTAATAAAAGTTAGGGGCCTTGAGTCCTCCACATTCCTTAAGTTTTGAAGTGTGGATAGTTTTATTCTTGGTTGTTTATTTTTCCAGTAAAATTTGGTGATTGTGCTGTTCAGAGAGGAGAACCAGCTTTGGGGTGGGGCTATAGGGATCATGGCAAAGAGGTAATTTATTTTTGGAAGGATTTTCATTTTGACCGTTGAGATACGTCTGATCAAGGAGAGTGGTAATTTATTCCATCTTTCTAGATTGTCTTTTATTTCTTGTAATAAAGGTTTGTGGATGAGTTTTAATAATTCGTTAGGGTTGGAGGAGATGTAGATTCCAAGATATTTAATTGATTTAACTGTGCGGCTGAGAAGAGGGTGTTGCAGCTGTCTGTCCCACCCACCGATTGGTAAAATCTCAGATTTTGTCCAGTTTATAGAGTAGCCTAATATCTTGCTGTATTTGTCGATTAGATTGTGAATTTGAGGGAGTGAGGATAACGGATTTGTAATGAATAGTAAAACGTCGTCAGCATATAGGCTTATTTTATGGTGGGTGCTTTTTAGTTTTATGCCTGAGACGGCATCGCATTGTCTAATGGAGGCAGCAAGAGGTTCAAGGAAGAGTGCAAACAGAAGGGGTGATAGGGGGCATCCTTGACGAGTGCCTCGTTGTAGTTTGAAGGGTCTTGATATGATTCCATTGGTGATAACGGAAGCCGAGGGGGAACTGTAGAGAGTTTTAATCCAGGTGGTAAAATATGACTGAAATCCGAATTGGTTTAGGGAGGAGAAGAGAAAGGGCCAGTTTACTTTGTCAAAAGCCTTCTCTACATCGAGGGTTGCTATAATAAAGAGTGTGGTTTTTAGGTGTGTGTTGTTGTTGTAGAGATTTATAAGATTGAATAGTCTTCTGGTGTTTTCTGAAGAGTGTCTCCCTTTTATGAAGCCAGTTTGATCTATGTGGACTAATGAGGGTATTACTGATTCCAGTCTAATGGCTAAAGTTTTGCTAATTAATTTTATGTCTGTGTTAATTAATGATATTGGGTGGTAATTAGAGCAGTGTGTGTGGTCCTTGTTTGATTTTGGGATGAGTGTTATGTAAGCCGTATTCATATGATGGGGAATAGTTTTATTTTTGTGAATTTCTGCTGTTACTTGGAAGAACAGTGGTGAAAGAAAGTGCATTAAAAATTTACTTTTGAAAACTTCAGTATTTTTAAAATCTAATACTCCAGTACTTTAATTCAGGTAGTTGTATTGGAGTCATATCTGACCAGCAGGATCTACACTGTGACTCAAGTAAAGCAGCTGTGGGACTTTGTCACCTCTGTCCAGACCACAGTTAACAGTTATGTTGTGTAGACGAATCTCTGTCTGTTTCTCCACGACCGCAGCTTCAGTGTTTTCTCATCAGAACAGCAGGATGCCCTATCTACTATGACGTCATTATCTTTGACAAGGAGGTTGTGTTTGCACCAGTGTTTGTTTGTTTTGTTTTTTTTGGGTTTTTTTTGTTGTCAGCAGGAATACACAAAAAGAACTGGACCATTTTGCAACAAACTTGATGGAAGGAAGGGACAAAGCCATTACATTTGATTTTCCTGAACATTGTAAGATAGAACATTTTTCTACAGTTTGGTATGGATGTTTTGATGTAAAAAAACAAACAAAAAAAAAAACAACAGACATATTTATGGTGATGAGATTTATGACTTTCCAAATCCAGATAATAATGTGGATCTGACAGACGTGCAGGACAGTTTGGCCTTGGTGGAGGTCTGTGTTCTGCTGAGTGTCAGTCTAGTCCAGGGGTCAGCAACCCGTGGCTCCGGAGCCGCATGCGGCTCTTTAGCCTCCTTGTAGTGGCTCCCTTTAGCCTTGACAAAAAAACACATGAAAATTAATATTTTAATTTTAATTTATATATTATTATTTTTGATGTTTATTTACTACTACTTCTACTACTACTACTGTTATATACTTTAAAATCTAATTTTAAAAAAGTTTTTTTTAATTTGTCAACTAAAATATGCGTCACATCCTTTAGCTAGCAACTAGCAGCAAGGCGAGGGCTATAGACGTTGATGTGATGTGTGAAGCTGCAGGCGTCATCTGGAGTGTGCGACCCCTGCACTAACCATGAGTAAATCCCAAAAAAGAAAAATCTCAGAGGAAAAAAGAGAGTTTAATTC